TCTACAATTGCATCTTATAAATCAGCATTAGTTGACCCTCTGGCATGGAGTTTTAATATTACTTTGAACCCAAGAATTTATCAAATTCTCAGATCATCCTTTTTCATTCAGAGACCCCTTAGGCCTAAAAGAATCCCACCTTGGTCTCTAGATAAAGTTACTAAATATCTTTTGTGGCATAATTACAATATAAATCTGAACCGGGACAGATTGCTCCAGAAGGCAGCCTTCCTTCTGGCAATAGCAACAGGTATGAGAATCAGTGAGCTGATTTCAATTTCCAATAATCCATCATTATTGGTATTTTCTGAGGAAGATGTCATGCTTTTTCCTACGGAGATCCTAAGAAAAAATTAAAGGGAGGATTTTTACGCCGATGAGACAAGGGTTCCTTATATATTGTGCCCAGTTAAGAAACTTCAAGAGTGGTTCACCAGATTCCCTAATCGAGGCCCCTATGCATTCTCATCACAGGATGGTAAGAAATTGTCTCATAGGCAAAGGACAAAATATTTATCTCGGTGAGCAGACGCTGGCAAGAAAAATTTGGCACATGACACCAGGAAATATGCAGGGTCTGTGGCCTTTCTGCAGCATATGAGTCTCAGTCAGATCAAAGAAGTGGGCTTTTGGAAATCTTCAAAAACCTTTCAAAACAGCTATCTTCATCTATCTCTGAAAGATGCTTCACATGTTGTGGTACAGGTACTGGCGTCCCCTCCCCCACCTAGTTAATCTATACAACCAAGACCTTCTTCTTCCTCATCAGAATAAAGTGAGTATCCTAATTGGGATATGTAAATTAAAATTTTACCTTCCGGCAAATGTTCCTAATATTGGAAAATATTCCAAAAAAGTTTATAATTATTATCTGGACCTAAGTTAGTGGAACCTTATATGCAATGTCACCTCCCTCTCCACTTCCTGCTTGGGTAATCATAGCTAGATGTTGCATTCTGGATTGAACAAAAAGATTTTTTTTCTCTCTCTCTCTCTCTCTAAAACCAGTTTTTGTGATAAAGTCAAGTATGCGACGTCGACATCTCCACCACTCAAGAGTTGACATTTGTTTACTGCTCGCTCTAGGGCAAAAGATGACGGTAGTTATGCGTGTGCTGGAGGGGGTTTTGAGAATTGCAATTAAATGCCAGGTAGCGACGTGTCCTCCAAATATTAAGTAATTATTAGATGTTTTAATTGCCTGTATGTTGGCCTGGCGAATTTATGCTAGGCATACACATATATACAGCTCCTCCCGCACTTACGACCTATACAACTTATAACCACCCGCACTTACGACCTGGATTTGGGTCCCTAACCCCGTCGTAAGTCGGGGTCTAGCTGTATATACAGCTCCTCCCGCACTTACGACCTACACAACTTATAACCACCCGCACTTACGACCTGCCTCATTCGTACCAAAATGAGTTTCAAATTACGTATTTTCGAGTCCCAACATCAGTACACAGAGAAAATTTTCTTTTGTAATTCACTTTAAAATGGCTGGCAAGCTTAAAAGTGAGAGTTTTGTGGTGCTGAGAAGAAAAAGAGACCATTTCGACACGACCTGGATTTGGGTCCCTAACCCCGTCGTAAGTCTGGGAGGAGCTGTATAGGTATAAAGCGAGATGTCACATTCTGGACTTTACCACAAAAACTGGTTTTTAGAAAAAAATGGCTTTATTCCTCACATTTACTGGTACTGAATATATATTATTTTAAGAAAACTATGGCTACAGGATTAAATACGCACAATTTTTTCCTAAATACTCCCTGCTATTTAGGGAGATACGGACAATCGAATTTTTTGGACAGATGGTCCTGTAGTGTACAGTATGTAACCAGTTGTCAATTCTCTTTGGTTGTCTCTTATCTCTTTGTATGGGCTCACATACGTACGTACATGTAAGATATCTCACACTCAGGATTGAGGTAGAATAGAAACTCACAATGCTTTTTCTGTATATATATTGTTGTACAGTGCAGTGCTAAGGAGTTACTAGGTGATGAGTAGTTTGCTCAGAGGTCCTGTTGGGCGAGGAGCTTTCTGGGGGAGCTGGTTGGTGAGGCGCTGTAGAGAGGGCTTGCTGGTCCAGACGGTCAGAGTAGAATGACCTCCCCGGCCAGCCTGTCCTGTATTTATGTGATTCTGCCGCATCAGGAATTGAGGCGCGCGTAGCGCGAGAGTCAATCACGGGGGAGAAAGCGAAAGGTGTGAAGCTCTCTGATCCTGAGCTTGAGGTGGAAGGTCAAGACTAGGTTGGCGATCGTACCCCTACGTCCTCACCATAGACCTAGTCTCTCGGCGTAGCTGGCTGTACGCTGATTGGCTGGTAAGCGCACAGCAGGAGCTCAGTCTGTAGTTGTAGGGGAGAGGATCCACTACAGTCCCCCCTTTTAGTCCGGATCTTCGAAGGCTCACTGTAATTCATTTACTGTATATAATTGTGTCACAGGTTAAATTTTATGGTTAACTAATTAAATACTTGAACAGGAAATTAAGAACTCTATACTTATTAAAAAATTAAAGTTAAACAAGAACATTAACCATAAATTACACATGTGAACAAATAAAGTTGTGATCCACTTGAATTTAAGAAATAAAGGAATGTAAATAATATTACTGGACTTAGATTAAATCCCTTATGAGAGGGGTTAGTTAAACATATAGTAATTTTCTTAAAAACTATACTTCAAGTTAATATTTACAACAAACAAATGAACAAACACACCAATAAGAAGTTATACAAACAGTTAAATAACTCTGTGATGGTTGTAATGGAAGCAATGCACGTAACACTAGGATCACTGGCCAGGCAGTGTTGTGTCTTAGTGTGAATTTTCATTGGAGAAGTACACAAGATCGGACAAACAATTGTTATGCTAAGCCCGTACCTAAGGCTGACACGTCCCTAGACCTAAAAGAATAAGTAAGAGGACTTGGCATAAGTATGCTGGCTGTGGGAAGGAAGATGTGGGGGAAGTAAATCTGTAGAAGTTTTTCTTGAGCTCCCGATCCATGCAATGGCTTATTAAACCTCGTATTGGGGTGGAGCTTGTGGAGGCGGGACTTCTGATACTCAGCGGTGATTGGCTCCTGTAGGAACATCTAGCTGATGTTTCTGGAAACACTTAGCATGATAGTGGCAGTGGGAGGTACTGACTGGTTCCACTCTGTCACTCCATGAATTCTAGAGACTTCTGCACTGGCAAAAGCGACCTGTGGTAGCGTCAGCTGAGATTTCTGGAAACATGTCAGAGCAATGAGGAGATGATGGGAGGAACTGGCTAGAACCTGTTGAGCCAGTGGTTTCTAGATGTTTGTGTACTGGCAGACAGCGAGCAAGGGGATGCTTTACAGTTGTAAGAAGTTTACAAAAATTTTAATATGTTTTGAAAATACCTACAAGCCATGATGGGAATGGGTTATGATACCTATACTAATATTTTTAGTTAACAGTTTGAGAAATGCACAGGATGGGATCATTTAAGGATTCTTAAATGAGTTCTTCAGGTCAGTGTTATTTTGATGTGATGTCAAATGGTTTCAGGCTTTTGAGGATTTAACCTTGATATTTACATATTTCATGTACAGTCGGGGTTAAAAGTCTTGAGCACTTAGCAATATCTGGCATCTACTTCTGAGTTATACATATATGATTGGGATATACTAATAACACTACTTGTCATCACATATTAGGCCTGAACCACAAAATGGGATAAAACTCCCCTTAATACCTAAGATCTTCGGGTACTTACATGCCAAATACTGTCAAGTGTTGGAATTTTGACCCGACTGTACCTGTATTGTTCTTAGATGTGTTAAAATGGACTTCACTGCTTTGTCCTAGCTGGGTAGGTATCAGGAAGAGGTGCTGCCACAGAGAATATTAACCCATTAATCATCCACCATTTCTGGTAAAAGTCATCCTGTCAGGTCCAATATTTTTTTAATGGTGTATTTTGTTGTCAAAAGACTGAAAACTTGAATAATTTTGTTTTCTGGGCATTTAAATGTTCACTGCATGAATGTGAGTGGGTATATCAGAGGGATTTTCCCCGGATCTCTCAGGCAAGTGAGCCAAATGGTATTGTAAAAGGATTTTTCTCTATTTTGCATTTATAAATATTTTATTTATTTCCTTTCATTACTCACATGATCATGGAAAACTATGCAATAAATAAAATATCTAAGGTTTTACTGATTTATTTTGCCATGATGAATGTTTTTATATAGAATAACAAGGAACACGCAGCAGCAACAACAACTCCCCTTGACTATCTGACTGAACATGAACAATGCTATATTTTTGTTTTCTTTCTATAAGTTGGATTTTATATCAATGGTTTCTGGCTGTTTACATAAATTTTATTTTTTTCTATTGATTTATATGACTTCTCAAGAAAATATAAAAAATTATTTACCGGGTATGTAAACACTTGATAAAAAAAAACATGATAATGGCAACACCTCTAACTCGACACATGTCACCACACTCTACCTCATGTCACCAAATTAATATGATGTTCTTTGTAAGTTAGATATGAAAGAAATATGTGGCAATGCAAAGACACTTGAATTAAGGTTGTTGGGACCTCTAAGCTAAGTAGCGTGGTATGCTAGTGTGTCAGCGTCAACGAGACGGTGAACAAGGGAGGAATAAATATGGGATAAGGCTGGCAGGCTAGCTCTATCCCTCTCCCACTTCCCCCTCACCCCCGCAACCCATCGGGGCGCCCAGGACAGTTACCACTAGTCCCATTGTCACTTATTTAGACCGTAAGATGTCACTAGTGAGTGTGAGAAATTTGTAAAAACAGCGGTGTATGTAAATGGCGGTGACACTGTAGTGACGATGCCATTTTGCCATTTTAAAATGGCAGTGACTCTTAATGGGTTAAAGTTAATTGCGGAATAATGTTTTCCAGGCTTCTAATGATTTAGAACTTATTACAGTATTTTTTTTCCCTGAAAATTTTCAGTGACTATTTTTTGACAGATCCGCTTGTGCCAGGTAGTCGGAATTCCTTGCCTGGATCTTTACCAGGGTCACATCCTGGCACAATTGGTCGGGAAGGCAAATCCAACACAGGCACCACATTAACTGGAGCTGCTGCAGGTAGAGGACCTGTTAATTATACTGTACTTCTGTATTACTTAGTTTAAAGTTTGTTTAAAAATATATACAGTACTGTCATAGTAAAGCATTAATGTCAGGGAACTGTAAATTGTAAGATTTTTAAAGTAATCATTTTAAAGGTGCAGCTCTCTCTCTCTCTCTGCGTGTGTGAAAAAGATAGTACAGGGTATATGAAATAGCAGAGGGTGTATAATATGCAATGGATAAGGAGAGATTGTCTAGGATAGTATGAACCTATAAAGAAGGATGCTGGAGGAGAGGATAGTACAGGTGCTATGGGAAGAGGAACACCGTCTACATCTTGGGAGGGAAAGGTGAAGTACTGTAGTGATAAGTGGAAGGGAGATATGTAGTGAAAGGACAGCCTGGAGGCTCAATTCTTGTGGCCACCCCTTCTAATTGAGCTCCCTGGAAGGATGAGTCATCATAAATAACACCATCATCACTCTTACCACAAACTGTTAGACCTCTGGCCAACGCCAATTTATGAAACGTAGACTCGTGGCTACTCAAAACCAGGTTTCATTTTAGTGATAAACAGTTGGCAACTGTTTAAGTAAACCACAGTTCAAATACTGCTCTCATCTTTGGACTGGATGTGTAATTGTGGCACTAAACCTTTTCATTTTGATGAAAGAAAAGCCATCAAAACAATCTTCAGTAATTGATTTACTAGAAACCTCCCAGCATTATACATTTGCAGGGATATGTCATCATTTTGTTTACTGTCAATGTTTTAATGAATTAAACTTAGTGTACCACCTTGCATCCACCATACCTTTGTTGTCAATATTTCATCTTGCACAATTTTTCACACCAAAATTTTTATTGTATATATTCCAGACAAGCATTTGTGAAATGATACTTAATGAGCTTTCATTAGAGCATAAATATTTTTAAAACCAAACTTGAAAAAGACAGTTGTGAATGGTTCTTAATGCTCTTTTTTGTGTTTGTATGTAGGAGCATAATTTTTTATTTATTTATTTTTTCTACAGGAGCAGGAACATTACGATCATGGCTGATGGATAGCACAGGACTAGACCATCTTACTAAGGAAATCACCACAACACAACATCATGTTCAGCAGTTGGCCCGCCTTCTAGATTCGATTGAACATCAAGATGATATGAGTGTCAGTTTTTTATGTACCTGTATATGTTCTATTAAATGTTTATATTAGTGCACTATTAAAGCAGTGTGTAGTCTCCTCCATACATGACCATTATTGGATATATATTCATATTAACCCTCTCGTGCACGAGATAAGTTTTAAGTTTTCCAGTTCCAAGATCACATCTGTGAGGTCCCCAGGGCAGGTGAGACAGTGCACGGTGAATTTATTTTATTTTTTTCCTTCCCCACCCCAAGGTATAAACCATATATCTTTGGCTTCTTAACTGATTGCTCTGCAACATAAGCCCCCAAAATTAATAATACAAATACTATATATTGCTATTTTTCGTCACTTCTAATAAACATGAGAAAAAAAAATCCTCGCCAATACGATCACAGCCTCCTAGCTCAAAATTGTCTGAGCCAATGGACGCTGCTAGAAGCAGAATTCTATAAGCTTTCTAACACAGTAATCAGATTATGATATGACCAAGAGTTTTGAGAAAATAGCAAAAAGCCGATTCTCAAATGGTAAAATCTTTTTTTTTTTTTCAAAGGAACTACTATGGTGGCAAAATTCAACCGACCCAGTAGTTTTCCTAATCGTGCCAAGAAACCTCTTGCTTTACACAAAAGGCTGCTAATTGGTTTATCACATCTGTTACTTTTGCTTCTGGTAGACTGACTGACTGCTGATTTGTATCCCAATGGAGACCTAACCATTCCAATTTCTGACATGGTATGAGATTTGATTTGACCTGGTTTATCTTTAATCCTAAGTTTTGAAATAGTACTAGTGTACGTTGGGTCGCCCTTTGACAATCTTCGAAAGAGTTTCCCAGTTTCCCAGTCAATCGTCTAGATAAGGACAATTTCTTATGCCCTCCTTCGCAAAGATCTCTATGGGGATGTTTGCCAGTTTTGTAAACACTTTTTGCGCAATTGTCAGGCTGAATGGCATCACTGTGAATTGATAAGTTACATCCCCCACTGCAAACACTAGAAACTTCCTGTACCTGGGAGCAACAGGCACGTGATAATAGGCATCTTCGAGATCCACTTTTGAGATCAAAGCATTGGGTGGAAGTAGAAGCCTCAGATGATCGTAAGTGAGCATCTTGAAACTTTTTTTGGGTAATAAACTTGTTCAGGACGGAAGGATCTAAAATCCACCTCAATTTGTCACTGCCTTTCTTGGGGACTGGGAATAGGCGAGACATAAAACATTGCTCTGACTGCAACAGTTCTATCACACCTCTGTTTAACAGTTGAATTACAAATTCTGTGAGTAAGGGGGTTGGTTTTCTACCCCGTTTTGGTAACACTAGGGGAGGGCGCCTCAACCAAGTCCACGTGAGGCCCCCTTTGATTGTCTTGTAAGCCCATATGGAAGAAGTCCATCTGTTTTCCCAACCCCCTAGACGACCCAGCTGTCTGGCTTCATTGAAAGGGAGTGGTCACTGATGTGGTGGAATAAGGTCTCCTTCCACTTCTGAACAAACGGCCACCCCTACTACGTCTTGAATTGTTTCCTCCTCTAAAGTTTCCTCTAGGTTGATAACTGAACCTAGCAGCTGGTCCTGTTCCCCTGATAAACCTTCCTCTTTTAAATTTCCGAAAGGTCTTAGAACTCCTGGGAACAGTAATATGAAGAGAACAGTAATATGAATAGCTTGCTCAACAGCTGATCTATACTTAACTAATGTTTGTTCCTCAAACAAAGCAGGAGAAAGGGGGGAAGAATGTTGCAATAAATAAGCACTACCACTTGAAGCATTATTAGTGATTTGCTTCCTTAGCTGGGCTTTTAGTTTTAGGGCTTTCAACATCATTTCAAAAAATGAGTTGCACAGGGAATATGGAATCCCTTGTATAGCAGCAGCAAAACATGTGTACTTCTGAATTGTCCTCATAGTCCAGCACAAACTTAGTCAATAACTGACACATCATAATTGCAGACCAAATGTCTGCTGCCAACTTCCTAAATTTAAATTCTTCAAGCAGCAGTGCAGAAGCAACTGGTTTCAAATTTCTTTTAAAGCTAAATGTCGCATTCTTGACTATGTCACAAAAACTTTTTTTCAGAAAAAAAAAAGAAGAAAATCTGATTATTTTTGTGACAATGTTTTATATTGATATAAATGACTGTATATTGGGACTTGTAGCCAACACTGTAATGAAGAGACTAGTACTGATAAAATTCATATAAGTCTCGAAAATCATTCTCTTTCAGAGACTTGTTTCGAGACATTATCACTATAACGAGGTTGTATAGCCTGATATTGTAACATCTTTTGAAAACTAAACACTTTCCCTGTAAATATGAGAAAAATATTACATTACACAACCATCACTTCACTTCTCTAACACTAAAAATAAATTATTTCAGGGAGTATGGTAAGCACCGTAATCCAGGAGTTGAGGCAACCTGCACGGAGTTATGGAAATTTAAATAGACGCAGCTCATACTCACGGTCTGACTGCTGAGATAATACTGTGCTGGTTTTCCCTTCCTGTGGGCCTCGAGAGTTGCCAATTAGTTTATTTGATAAACCTTACTTGTTCCAATGAAATATCAAAATTTGAGGCAATTCTGTTGAAAACTTAATTTTTGGCGAATTTTTTAGAATTTGGTGACTCGATTTGCTTCACTGTGAAGTTGGTGTTATCATGAATATAATGCGAATCATGTCATCATGCGCGAGAGGGTTAAGAGCACGAGTGTTTAGTAGCAGCTGATGGCAACTTCTGTTTTCATGACTTACTGATTCTCATCACATCAGTTTTTTTCATAAGGTTATTAATGTCAATTGTTTTCTTCAGTACAATACCACACTCTACCTGTTATGAAATATATTATTGACACCTCATAATGTATCAGTACCATCCAGAAGCAGTAATTTACTCAGAAACCCTAACTATTAAATTTAACTTCGCTTACCTTGTTATCCTCTTAGTTTGCCTCGCTTGTTAGCCTGACCACTACACTCATATATGCTAGATGGACAACCCACCTTATTATAAGTTCTCTACCAGTTTATCAATATTTCTCCACTAAACATATCCCATTCTACAAACTTCCCAATAAATTTGTTCTTTTCTGACTTCATGCTGTGTAATGAGTGCACAAATACAAACTTGTAGCACTTTGTGCAGTGTCAAGGGTTGGTGTGGAATCTTTTCTGAATAGTTAATTTTCTATAAATGGCAGCACTGTCAGAACCCTTGAGGGAGATTCATTCTCAGTTGGCTTATTAGAGGCTGGATCATTCTCTAGTTAGAGATTTGTGACATTGTGTACATATAAACACATTTGATATACTGCATAGATAAGATAGATTCAGCATTTCTGTTGAAAGCTTTATTAAGTACTTTTATCAGCAGCATGGGGAGCCGACAACTCCTTCGACAAAATCAAGAAGAAAGTTTCGTTTGCGTAAACACAAGTCCAACAAGTCGACAAGTGGAGAGATCACCATCAGCACAAGTCCAGGGAAAGGAGCTCCAGATCAGGTGGATGCCATGGTACCTTCACTGGTAAATATATTTTGGCTACATTTTGGGGGAATTATCCAGATAATTAATTTTGTGTACTTTTTATTTTTTACATTGTGACTTACCCGGTACTTTTTCATTTTAGCCTTTTAATTAATCTTGTTCCCTGAAGCTTGTATTATTCCTCTATCGATAATGCGTTTGTTTTTCAGTTCATCTGTTTGTTTATATTTGACTTGCCTGCAATATTTAGGTGATCTCAACCAGGACCAGCATGAACCCTCAGGACTTAGAGGTTGTTCTGTGGGGATTGACATTTTTACAGAATTTGTAAAAAAAAAAAAATATTAATAAAAAAAATAAAATAAACATGCGACTTACAGATGGGGAAGCAAAACCGGTACTGTACACTTACTACCACTGTGCACTGTACAGGCGGTGTGGTTGAAATTTTTATTTGGTTACTCTACATCTTCTTCAAAGTAAAGCCCAAACTAGTATGCATGATATCTAACTGCTGCAGCACTATTATTATTATTCCTTTCTCTTCATTATTTGGAACAGTATACTTTATGCTTGCTTAAAGGAAGACATTAATAGAATATGAATGGTAAATTTGAGGGTTAATCCTGTTTATATGATTTACATTCCAAAACAGAATTTCAATTACTTGTATTCCTTGTACAGATAATGATAAGAATAATGTGTTGTGCAGAGATCAAACTCGTGTAAATAAGTGACTTACTGTACCAGGTGTTTCAGTTGTCATGTTGCCAGACTTGAGTTGAAATTCTGTACTTGACTAATTTCATTTTCATTGAATGTGGTAAGTCTCTCAAAATTAGATACAGTGCCTTGTTGTATTCTTTAAAAAATCTGAAAAACAAAACAAAAATATTTAGTTTATGTAAATTTCAAAATGCACTATTAATGATTCATAAAAATAGAATATTTTAACAAGAGGGTTAGATATCTGGTTCCATTATACAACAGTTTTCTATTTTCATAAGTTATCAAGAAGTGGCTTGTGAGGCCTTCAAAACCCCTTCTCTTGATTTTTTCCCCCATGTTTTCACCAAGTCTGCAGAAAAGCAAGAGTACTATAAATTTTTATGGATGTATCACTGCCTTTTGGCTGAATTTTTTTTTCTTTGGAATTGTAGAGCTTTACAACCATACAAAAGAATTGAAGCAAATAGTCATTTGAGAAAAATCTTGCACTTTTCATATTTATGATTTGATATCTAGCCTAAACAACTTGTATGTAAATGTGCGTCCACACGTGTGTACATTTTGTCGCCAACATATGATCAAAAAGGGGAAACACCCATCTGGTGTACACGGTTGCACCAGAGTCAGAAGCCTGTGCCTCATTTCGTTTTCTTGATCACACGTTCGCAACAAAATGGACTCGCATGTGGACGCACCTTTATGCTGACTAATGCTAAAGGCTGAAAACCCAGAAAACTCTATAACATTTGTTGCTGTGATCAAGTTATAAATACGATACCACTTCCCATCATAAAGGTGTCAGAAAAGGAACTTTATCTACAACAGTCGCCATTCAAGGTAGATGGCAATTTTACGTTAACCTGTGTGCACTGCTCCTGTCACTTGGCTTGGCTACAACCTGTCATTTCAGGCTTCAAACTTTAATTCCAACTATTCTTTGCATATGAGGAAGTATTTTCCTGCATTTACATTGACTGAAACATTTATTAGCCACAACCCAATAGAGAAGTAAATTAATATTATGGGTGGACTGCATGGCACTGGTGGGTTAGTAAAGTTAGTTTCAAATTAGCTTTTTATTGCTGTTTGTCCACAATTCACCTCGTGGGATTCAAGTCACATTAGCATTTGGAACATGTAGTGCACCACTTTCCTTTATCTATCTGTCTTCAGGTACACGAGTCACTTAGGCTGGGCGTTAGTTCATAAATAGAAGTTTATTTTGAAATCCTATTTTATGACCTACCACGAACTAAGCGACTGATGAAGGTGACTTGATCAGAGATTTGAAAAATAATTTATTTGTTTTCTTTATCATATGCCATGTAGCAGTTGCAGTGTTTATTGGCCGGTGTAACTTCAAGACTTGTTTTATTTAATAAGGATCCCTTTTCATGGATTTGTCTATAATGGGAAGGAATCACTAATTAATAAATTTGTCTCAACCACAAAAATTGGGAGATTTCAAGCTGTAGACTTAGTGGGCATAATGTGGGAATCATGTTGTCTAGGCTCAGCAGTAAAATGGTATTTCAGGATTTATTATAAATTTCTCCATTTTCACTTTTGTCTCGGGACAACTTAAGATTTTCCTTAAGCCTCTTAACTGAGACAATTTTATCTCTGCTTTCTTTGAATTTTCCCAGCATTTGATATCCCACTGCTATCCATTTTTTTAATATTGCATGTATTTCTAAATATTTGAATAATGCCCAAGTTCTATATCATATACCTATTATCTGAAGTTTCATCTCATTTCAAAGAGAAGGGAACCTTAATTTGCATTCCATCTTTGAGTGTCCTGCCTATTTTATGAAAGTAATCCATAATTCAACAATATTGTACTCATAATGTAACATCAAACAAAGCTACACCCTATGTGGAAAATAACTGTACCAGCTTTCAATCTCCTACCACAATTTAATGAAATCCCACGAAATTTCATTCTCAATATTACCTTCTGCTAATGCTGTAAAAGGTGTTAACTCCATCTTTACTTTGCTATACAGACAACAACTGAAAGGCTGAAGGCATCCATTGAATAGATACAGGGGTATCAAGAATTACCATAGGATGACCTCTGATGATAAATAGTACTGTTTGATATTGCCAATAGAACAGGAATAGTTTTAAATGGCATAAAAGCCTCTGTGTGATACATTAAGGGCCAAACAGCTGCTTTAAACAAGTTTATGCTAAAACATGATAGCTATGGGATATACAGTATGTATTGTACAGTTGCCTCCACATGAACGTACCACAGCCTAGGTGTGTGTGGGGGGGTTACATTTACAAGTTGTGGCAATGCAGTGCCGTAGTCATGGGCGTGAAATCGTGGATTACCCTGTTTGCCAGTTCCCCGTAGTTCAGTCGTAGTCCCTCGGTCGTGGCTACACAACAGTGCTGCATAATACACATGACAGGGTTTGTTTATCTGTTTATATCTTGTAGTAAACTGGATAATTTCACTATTTCACACCCATTCATTCAGTCCTGACTATGGCACTGCATTGCCACATCTCATACCCAGGCCCACACACACACTCCCAGGCTATGGTATGTTCTTGAGGAAGCAGCTGTACCTTAGCTTGGCATTGCAGTGCAGCTGAATGCAGTTTGGATGCAGTTCGTGTGTACAATGAAAGACAAAAGTCGTGTTGTGAAATTTGGTGAAAACATATGCCGAAGGGCTAAACTTTTGGTGCGCTCTGCCTTGTGGTAGGCCCGGGGGCTCTCATAATGTTTCACGAGTTATATTTAATCTTCGGACAAAACCGCGACACGACTTTTATCTTTGATTGTACCTTGGTTTTTGCTTTAAGTAAGGAGAGGGGTTAATCAACCTTGATGATGCTGTTCATTATTGGCACACTTTCAGAAATTATAATTACAAAATACCATACAATATGCTGTTGGACTTTATAAGCTTTTGAACATCTTGCATATAAATACTGTTTGTTTGTTTTTTTTACTTCATGACAATGCATGAAATATACGTACATACCATACAGTATATAGTCAGACCTGCCCAACACATCTCCACATAAGCAAAATCAAACATTAGCTTAAGTAAAATTGCAACAAAACTCCAGCAATGTGCCCAAAAGTTCACATTCTGTATATGCATCTGAACTTGTCACAGTGTAGGCAGCAGGACCTACTGTTGGGGAGAGGAGGAACAACAGGAACGTTTCCGCACAGGAAAAACATAATAGTTTTTGGAGTTACTGAGAGCCAATCGGAGAAAGCTGAGAGTAGGAAAACACAAGTTAAGTTACAATTTGAGAATATTTGTACAGAGGCTCTGAATATGTCAGACCCACCCCCCTCAGGATCACACGAGTGAGTGAGGAAAAGAAGTGGGAAGTTATTCGGCAGGCAAAAAACTAAGCAAGGAGCGATCATTTCGGAATACGTATATTCATTCACCCAGATCGTACGGTAATGCAGAGGGAACAGCACAAGAAACTCCTACAGGACTTGAAGCAGAGGAGGGAGGAGTCGAGGAGGAACGGGGTAATATCCACAGGGAGGGTAGTGGAAGCTAGAACGCCAGCACACAGTCAAGGGAGAGTGGGACACCCCTCACCTGCTCTACTTCTCACCCAGGAGGAGGCGAGTGCCATGTAAACAATGACATCTCTGACTACACCCCACAAAATACAATGTATTTAGCAAAGGCTGCAGCTGCTGAGAATGGAGGGAGGCCGGAGTCACTACCAAGATCAGAGACATTACCGAGGACAAATTCCAGCTTGAAAGTTATAACGACGGTTCTACCAACATTGATTCATATTTAAAACCCTGGTTAATTTAGGACCCAATTCACTTTACACTGTTATTTTATTTGTATATACGAAAAAAATATAAAATATAAAATAATATTAAATTTTTGTGTAAATAATATCTAAATCCCGCTATATACAGCACCTGTGTGTGTATACAGTGATCCCTCGGTTAACGAACGCCTCGGTTAACGAAATTTCGGTTAATGAACTGCCTTCCATAAGAATCTTCAATTCGGTTAACGAACAAAAATTCGGTTAATGAATTTCTTACGAACCGACCTCAACATGTTTTCGCTTGCACTGGCCGGGCAACCAGCTTTAGTATCAGTCCGCCAATACAGTAATCGGTTTTAGGGCTTAAATTCCTTACTATTTTAGTAAATATCAAGAAGTTTATACTATTCAATAATTTTAAAAGTTTAATATTAACTTTTTTAGTCATTTTAACAATTATTGAGCATAATTGAAGGTAAAGAAACTAGTTTCTGGCGTGCCATCCAGCCTGTTAACACACCAGACAGG